CTTTAATTACTACTTTATTATTAAAAAAGGTATTGTTGATACCAATTACCACAATATTGTAGCTAAAATGCAGAATATTTGCCAAAGTCAACCACTATAAAACACTGGCAACAGTGTAAACAACAATGCCTGGTTGTAATGCATGCAGATGAAACCACATGATTTGAAGCATCATTGTAATTGAGTAATAATGATAACTTTGGATGCTGAGCTGACCTTGAAGTTTCCACACACTGGGTCTCATCCTCTTTCTCTGCTGGGCCAACCACTGCAGCCATGAAGACCTTGAACCCCAAAGCCAAATTGGCTCAAGCCTATGTGGTGCTGGTGGTCAACATCGGTGCTGCCTGGGGACTGCAGGACATGCTGAGGAGCAACGTGGCACCCAAGGGCACCATAAAGATGCTGTTTTTTGGTCCTAGAGATGTCAAGATTACTAAAGATGACAATGTACTGCTTCATGAAATGCAGATACAATGCCCAAGAGCTTCTTCAATAGCAAAAGTAGCAATAGCCAGGATGACATAATGGATGATGGTACTGCTTCCAGTGTCCTGATCACTGGAGAGCTGCTAAAACAATCAGAGCTCTACATTTCTGAAGGTCTGTATCTCAGAATAATAACTGAAGGATTTAAAGTGACAAAGGAAAAGACACTTCCATTTTTGGGACAAATCAAAGTAAGCAAAGAGATGAACAGAGAAGCACTTATAGATGTGGCCAAAATATCCCTGTATACTAAAGTTCATTCTGAACTTACTGACGTTTTAACAAAGGCTGTAGTATTCTCGTTTTGGCTATTATGAAAAAGATGGACCTATTGACTTTTTCATGGTTGAAATCATGGAGATGAAACATAAATCTGAAACTGCTATAAGCTTAATCAGAGGGTTTGTTTTGGACCATGGACACAGTATCCTGATATGAAGAAAAGAATAGAAGATGTACATATCCTCACATGCAATGTGTCATAGACCATGAAAAAACTAAAAGGAACTTTGGCTTCTTTTACAAGGTGCAGAAGAGAAAGAGAGGAACTTGTAAAAGCTGAAAGAAAATTAATTAAAGAGAGTTTTAAAAAAATAGAACTGAAGAAGAAAGTCCGTGATGATTCAAATAAAGAGTTTGCTGTTATTAATAAAAAGGAATTGACCCATTTTTCTTACATGCCATTGCAAAAGGAGGCATTGTAGCTCTACACAGAGCTAAACAGAGTAGTAAGGGGAGGGTGACCCTTGCCTGTGGCTGGATGGCTCCAAATTCTGTAGTTGACCTAAATCCTGATTGTTTGAGACATGCAGGACTTGTCTATGAGTACATTTTGGGAGAAAAGTTCATCTTTATTCAGAAGCAATAACCCTTGCTCTGTCACACTATTTTTTGAAGGACCAAATAAGCACACACTCACTCAAATCAAAGATGTGATAAGACATGTCTTGAGAGTTGTCAAAAATGTTATTGAAAATGGCTTTGTGGTTCCAGGGTTTGGTGCAGTGGAAGTGGCAGTGGCAGAAGCTCTGATGAAGTATAAGCTCAGTATCAATGGTAGGGCCCAACTTGGAGTCCAAGCATTTGCTGTGGTGGTGCTCATTATTTCCAAGATTCCTGCTCAGAACTCTGTTTTTAACCTTCAGGAAAAAATAGTAAAAGTTGAAACAGAACATTCAGAATCTGTTAAACTTTTGGGTGTAGATTTGAACACAGGTGAGCCAATGGTAGCAGTAGAAGCAGTCATATTGTGTAAAGAAACAGCTTCTTTACTTCTGCATTATGATTGCTACCAACATTCTTCTGGTTGATGAGATCATATGAGATGGATTGTCTTCTTTAGAATATTGAATTGAATATTCCTTTGTATCATCTGAATCATGAAGATTCTACATAGTGATCCAACAATATAGTGATGGAATTTTTGTCTGAGCTTCAGATGATTTTCAAAGGAATTTTCTTTTCCCATATTGAACTAGGAAATAATTTTCACCTATTCAAATTGTGAAGTTCTGAAATTATTATTACAGTTTTTTTTTTTAACTGCACTAAAGTGTATACACATAAAGCAAGTCTTTTTTACTCACAGAACAGGTTGTTTCCTTTAGCTGCAGTGACCTAAAATTATGTATGACATAAGCATGTGTTATCTACTTTGTAAATAAATATTCCTTCAAAAGCAAGCAAACAAACTAATTAATTAATTAATTAATTACAAATCTGACCGGAAAGCATTGTTGTTGTTGTTGTTAAGTGCTGTCGAGTCGTTTCCGACTCATAGAGACCCCATGCACAGCAGAACGAAACACTGCCCCATCCTGCGCCAGCCCCACAATCCCTGCTATACTTGAGCCCATCATTGCAACCACCGTGTCAATCCATCTCGTTGAAGGTCTCCCCCTCTTTCGTTGACCCTCCACCCTACCAAGCATGACATCCTTCTCCAGGGAATGAATGGTCCCTTCTTACAACATGACCAAAATAGGTGAGACGAAGTCTGGCCATTCTTGCTTCCAAGGAGCATTCTGGCTGCACTTCCTCCAACGGAAAGCATTAGAAGGTTCAAAAAGTAAATTAGCATAGAGTTTTAGCATTGTTGGTATCTTGATACATGTAAACTGGGCTTATCAAAATGTTTTTATTGTTATAACTAACTACAGGGATATTTTTATAAAAATAATAAATTTATGCTGAAACACTGCCCCAAAATTTGATGGCCAGTCATTTTGATGTCACCCTTTTCTGACATGTCACCTGATGTATTCCACACCCCCTTTACATCCATACGGATACCAGTGACAAGAGATGCTCATAGTGTTGGAACTTTCAGTTTTGTAACTATGGTAGTGGATACTTGAACCTACATAGGAGTTAAAATTGTAAAGAACTTAATACACACACACACACACACACACACACATAAAGGAGTAGAAGTAAAGCTAGAGAAATGGAATATTTGTGGATTGTATGTATGTTAATATCTTGGTTGTGATTTTTCAAAATATCAGCATTAGGCTAAACTGGGCAAAGTGAAAGGAAGCCTCATAGCTTAGTGGTTAATTGCTTGGCTACTAACCAAAAGGTCACCAGTTTGAAACCAACAGCCACTCCACAGGAGTAAGGTGATTCCATAAAGATTACAGCCTTAGAAACCCTATCGAGTAGTTCTACTCTGCTCTATAGGGTCTATAGAGTGAAAATCAACTTGACGGCAACAGGTTTGGGCACAGTGAACAGGGAATCTTCTGTATTATTTCTTATAACTGCATGTGAATCTATAGTTATTGTCATAAAAACTTCAATTAAAAAAGAAAAGCCAGTTTCACTAAAGAATATTCTTGACGAAGTAGTGAGAATCATTAACTTTATTAAATCTGAACCCATGAGTAAATGTATTTTTAATATTCTGTGTGACAAAATAAAAAAGTGTTCATAAAGCACTTCTGCCACATAGAAGTATGTTGGTTGTCTCAAAAAAAGAAAAGAAAAGAAACCTGCAGTTTTTTAGTTATATGCTGAACCAGCCACCTTTTTCATGCAACACCATTTTTATTGAAAGGAGCACACAAAATGCAGCTGTTCAGACTTGGGTAGTTGGCAGATATTTTCTTAAAAACAATGAAGTGACCTGTCACTCTAAGAAAACAAATGACATTTGTCGCCTATGATAAAAATCCAAGCTGTAAAGAAAAAAATTAGAATTTTGGAAAACTGATGTCTGTTAAGGTGAGGTTGACAGCTTGATGGTGATATTAATGAATTTTTTTGTTGTTGATATTGTGTAATGAAATGAGTCATCATTTGGAAAATTTTCATAATTTGGTGAACTAATATTTTCCAAATGAACAGTGCTTGTTGTTACAAAATCATTTATGGGTAAAAGAAACATGCAAAGTGCAAGATAGTCCAATGGATTTTAATGTAATAGGGTGCACAGGGTTCATTATTATAGTTTCAGATGCCACATTGCAACTAATCTTTAAAACACTACCATTTGTTTAATTTTGGTGGCGTATCAAAGTTGAGTTTGGGTAGAGTATCCATAGTTATCTGAAAAGATTATTTAAATTATTCTCCAATTTCCAACCACATATCTTTGCGAAGACAGATTTTCTTTATGTATTTCAACTAGAACAACATATTGCAACAGTGAATGCAGAAGCAAATTTGAAAATCCATCTATCATCTTTTAAGCCAGACATTAAAAAGAATTGCAAGAATATAAACCAGTTCCACTCCTCTGTCTAAATATTTTTTGGAATTATACTTATTTTTCATTAAAATACATTATTTACATTAAAATACAATGTATTATTATTTTTAAATAAATTAGTAAACTAATATTTAAAATTTTTCTGTTTTAATTTCTAACATACAAATTAGTGAAAGTTATTGAACACATAAAAGAAGCCCAGATGGTTCAGCAATTAAGTGCTCAGCCAAAAGGTCAGTGGTTCGAACCCACCAACCTCTCCTCAGAGCAAAGATGTGAGAATGTGCTTCCCTAAAGATTTACAGCCTTGGAAACCCTGTGGAGCAGTTCTACTCTGTCCTATAGGGTTGCTGTCAGTTGGAGAGGCATCAGGGTTTTTTTGATTCAGGTTGCATACATAAGCCAAAGCTCTTTGGAATCTTCAATGTAAAGGGGTCCTGAGCCCACATCTTTTAAGAAACACTGATACAGAGTTAAATAGTTAAAGGGATTAGATTTGAATCATAGATCTATCACTTACCATGTGGAGATCTTAGACAGGTTACTTTGTCTCACGAGCCTACTTTATTATGTATGAAATAGAGATAATAATAACACCTTACTGTGTTTTTGTGATGATTAAATGAGCACTGGTAAATATTTTACTTAATACCTTGCCCTTAGTAAGTTTGATAGACATTGGCTCTGACTATCAGTATCATGATGATGTCATGGTTAAAATCTATTACTAACTGTTTATATAAAAAAACATCAATAGTGATGTTTTCAAGAGTCTTTAATGTTTACTTATCTTTTTCAGGATGGAACACCATTGCAGGCATTTGTAGCTGAAGTTGCAGAACAAATAGTTGGCATTGCAGTGATAAGAAATGAAATGGTAAATTGTGAAATGTATATTCATTTATTCTTATTTTATAAATAAAATAAACATTTTATTTATTTTTGGTGTCAGTATACACAACCAAGCATACATCTAATCACAACTTCTGCATGAACAGTTCACTAACATTGGTTACACATTTCACATTACGTCACTATTCTATCTGTACCCACATTGTTTCATCATCATTAATTTAGGCTTACTGTCCATTTAACTTCTCATCCTCGGAAGGAAGGTTGGGCAATCTACTTCTGTAGTGATACCACCTTGGAAACCCAAGGAGGGGTCGCTATGAGTTGGATCTAACTCGATGGCAGTGAGTTTGGTTTGGTTTTGGAACTTCTCATCTGTGCTATAAGTTAACTGTTGTCAGTTTAAGTACATATAGATAATTCTTTATAAGCATTCTATGCTCAAGGCAAACATTCTTTATTAATTGGGGGAGCTCTGGTGGTGTAGTGCCTAAGGCATTTGACTGCTAACAGAAGGCTGGTGGTTCAAATCCACCAGCCACTCTTTGGAAGGAAGGTTGGGCAATCTACTTCCATAGTGATACCACCTTGGAAACCCAAGGAGGGGTCGACTATGAGTAGGATCCGACTCAAAGGCAGTGAGTTTAGTTTTAAGAGCTCAAGTAACTTAGTGCATAAGGCACTTGACAGCTAACCATAAGGCTGGTGGTTCAAACCTATCAGCCACTCCTCGGAAGGAAGATGGGGGAATCTACTTCCATAGTGATACCCCCTCAGAAACCCAAGGAGGGGTCACTATGAGTCGGGTCCAACTCAACAGCACATAACAACAACAACAACAAAGTATTTAGTTTGACACTGGCTTTATGGGATACTTTTGTTTCAGGGTTTAAAGATTATTTCTAGGCATTAGATTCAGGGGTTCCCCCAGTTTCAGTGGATTTGGTAATTCTTGTTTCCATGTAAGTTTGAAGTTCTGTTCCATGCTTTTCCTCCTTTTGATCATGATCTATTTTTTGCATCCTTGATAAAATGTTTAGTTATGGTAGCTGGGCACCATTCATTTCTTTTGGTTTCATGGTAATGGAGGAAGTAGTTCACAGAGGCATTTAAACCTGCAGTCCATTTCCCTGTGTAGGTCCTCCTGGATCTCCTTATTCCGGTACTGTTCTAGGTGAATAGAGACTAATTACTTTATTTTGGGTGAAATTTTCCTAGATTTTAAGACCCCAGCGGCCACTCACCAAACTAGATGATAGAACAGAAACTCTAAAAACAGCATTAGGCTAATTGACAGGATAGACTCACAAAACCATGACCCTAAACCTTTAAACTAAGAAAACTAATTTCATGAAGTATTTAGTTGTACCTGGTACGTGACTGCTAACCAGAAAGCTGGAGGTTCACACCCACCAGCCACTCCTCAAAAGGAAGGTTGGGCAATCTACTTTCATAGTGATACTGCCTCAGAAACCCAAAGGAGGGTTTACTGTGAGTTGGATCTGACTGGATGGCAATGAGTAAGTAGTATCAATAGGCTCAGTCTTTTTTTGTTTTTGTTTTTGCTGCTGTTGTAATGGCAAAATTATATAAAACACTTTATTTGCCATTTCACACTATTTTTTCCCCTTCCTGGTTTACAGCTTAATAGTAAATTACAGCTACACTAGTCTGGTTGT